ATCTAGACACTTCGTATTTTCTATGAGAATTTTTTGGCGGTCGTATAAACATTAAATTAATCTAAATTATTGAGCAAGAATACGTGAACAGATGTGGATCACACTCTGTTTGCTTCTAGACTCAGGTAATTTGAAGGGTTAAGCAAGAAACTAGCAAATAATCTCTGAAGCTCTTTTTTGGCTGTCCGTATTCGTTTAACCCCGGCTTTTATTGATATCTTTTTCTATGTATCTTTGTGTATTTTTTATATATTTATATATCTTTTAATGAAAAATCTGGACCCGCGACTTTTTTACCCGCACCCGCGACTTGGTACCCACGACCCGCGACCTCCTACCCGCGACCCGCGACGCGCGACCAAAAACCAAACTCTTTAAAAAAGCACTGAATATTGAAACAACATWGCACAATAAGCAATTTTGAGCTTCTCGTATGAAGTACTTTTTGCGTAAAACGGTTTTAAAAACTCCAATTTTTAGAGAGATTAATATGAGCTAAYTAGCGCTTTTGCCACTCATCATCTTTGAACGCTAATATCTTATAAACTATTTCATGTAATGACCTCAAACTTTCGTAGTTTATAGTTCTTAATAAGCCCTTTTACATTATAAACTTATTTTACAGTTTTCAATCTCAATTTCAATTTTTACAATTTAAACTTTATGCTAATTAGCAAAATTTTGTAAGCAAAGATCCCCTATAGCTCCATCCTGATCTCCTGTRAATTGCCGTAAAAACTTTCATTAACTAGTGATAGTGCAAAATGCTCTGTAAAGTATCATGTGATAGCAGTCTGGGAGAGAGTACTTACCTCCACCGTTGCGATAGCAAAGATATGGGAATCTCCAAAAATTTCCATAACCCACTATATAGCCAAGTGTAGCCAAAATAAATTCAATCTTACTATCCCATCGCTGTCTTGGTTGTGTTATAACCTCTACCTCCACTTCTTGGGTTTTAGTCAACAGACTCTTGTCGTGATTGGTGTTGTTATCTGCATCTAGTGAAGTCATTTTTAAGTGATTTAAGCAGGTAAATGGAGTATTTTGCGTTCTACTTTAGCAGGGTTTCTTTCAGCTGAGTGCGCTAGGTTGGTAAGATATGCAAAAATCGCTGCTGYATTCAACGATCCGTGCGAGCGGCGTCGAGCCAGATATAACGTTTAATTCAGATATAATTCACTTTTAAATGCCTTAAAAGTTGTTTGAATTTACATATTTTATGTTAAGTTTACGGTAAGTAATGAAGGGGTTAGGTAAGGGTTTAAATTCTTTTTGTTTTGTTAAAATTATTTTTCTTTTAGAAACTATATACAAAAACAAATTTTAGAGAAGTCAAAGTTCTATGAAAATCTCTTTGATCTAATAAAACAGATAAACAACAAATAAAGTTTTGCGATAAGAGTTAAAAATAGCTTAGGGCGCCTAATTAACCACAGGAAGCCCAACAGAAGATCAAGTATGGCCTGATTAAAAGTGGATAGAACGTCTCAAAACACAACAATTCTCGAGATAAACAAAAGCTAAATGTTTATYTTAGTTTATGCTTCCTCTTTGGTATGAAACAACATAAAGAGATCTAATTTKTTGACGTGTTTTAATATCAACTTGTTGAAAATTTGAATATTTCGGTAACTTTAGTCGKTTCTAGCGAAGCATAAACRTATGATGATGTCGGCGACCGACGAAAGCTTGAGAGAATAAACTCATCACAGCAGTAGCGTATGGCCCAATTTCAACCTTATATTGCATAAACATATTACTCAACGATATTTTTACATAAATCGAAAGGACTCTTCCTTGACATTTTATCCTTCAAAGACCATATTTGATTTGATCATATCGGTGTTTGTCAAATCGA